ACCGAAAAAATACACGAAACAAAATACATTTAATCTGGTTTTTCAATAGCCTGAAATAACAATACTTTAGAGTGCAAAATATATCAGTGACGTCAATAGTATTTAAGCAGTAAAAAATATATAGTATTAAATTTTTACTTTTACACAATTATATAATTGTGTTTAATGTAATAATATGCTAATTGAAATACCCGATATAATATTAATTCTCGAATGGAAATAGCAGAAGAAAAAATTAGAAATCAGAAGTATTATTATTTCGTGAAAATATTTTATGATAAATGTTTTGCTTTCATTACAAAGTTTACTACATTATTTTAATATAAAATTAATCCAAAAAATCTATTATTTTCTCATCAAAAGAAAATAATTAAATTGAATTTGATTCTTAAGTTTTGCGTTTCTACTTTGGTCAACACTGTTAAAATTACGAGTCATTGAGTCGAACATGTGGTGTACCGAAAAGTTTTACAACTCGTCATTTACTTGTGATTTTTTTAGAAAAATTATTTTATTGATATTTTTTAATTTTATTTTATTCATAAATTTTCATTTCAAAAAATTAAATGGGATTTCACAATTCTTTGATGCATAAACAACGCATTATAGAACACATTTGTGTCGAGTATTTCGGTTTCAAAGTAGTCGGAGTCGTGGAGTTGTTAAGCGGATATAACTCCTGCCTGAAGTGGAGTCAAATCCGAGTCGATCCGGCTTCGGATATGATAAGCCCATCTCTATATATATATATATATATATATATATATATATATATATATATACGAGGTCTGTTCAAAAAGTACCCGGAATTTTCGTTTTTTCAAAAAAATATTTATTCGTCTACATTAATGTGGTCCCCTTCAAAGTAGTCCCCCCCAGATATAATACACTTATGCCAGCGTTTTTTCCAATTTTCGAAGCACACCTTGATATTCACTTTTTGATATGTCCTTGAGCACTCTCAGCGATTTTCTTCAATCGAGGAAAACCGCCGTCCTTTCATGGGTCTCTTCAACTTTGGGAATAGGAAAAAGTCACACGGAGCCATATCTGGTGAATTTTTGCACTTTGCAACACTTTATTTCATTTTTTACGCAAAATTTAATACAAATTCTTTGACTTTTCAATTCTTCCATTGTAAAAATCGCCGAGCTCAGAAAAACACGTCGAACCTTAGCGACTACCACAGACAAAGTAAACAGTGAATATAGCTGAAAATTTCATCATACTTTAGGGGCATGTATACCAACACAATAAAAAAAAAATTTTGACAATCAGACACTCCAGACCCGCGAAATTTAATTATTAGTAATTCCGGGTACTTTTTGAACACACCTCGTATATATATAATTATATAGTTACTAGACATCCCAATTATTTCATATATAAGTCACTCGATATTTCAGCTATTCAGAAGTTGAGTTACAAGACAACTCAGCTGTTTCATATATGAGTTACACAACAACTCAGTTGTTTGATACATGAGTTACTCAATATTTCAATTATTTAAAAGATAAAGATATTTAAGAGTTATTTTTGATAGATGAGTGACACAATATCACACTTGATTTTTTAGTCACTTAAGACGATTAAAATCTCAGTTATTTAAAAGACGTGTTACTAGACATGTCAGTTATTTGATATAAGAGTTACTAGAAATCTCAGTTGTTTGATTGATGAGTTACTCGACATCCCATTTATTTGATATATAAGTCACTTGATATTTCAGCTATTCAGAAGTTGACTTACTCGACAACTGTGTTGTTTGATACATGAGTTACTCAATATTTCAATTATTCAAAAGATAAAGATATTTAAGAGTTATTTTTGATAGATGAGTGACACAATATCACACTTGATTTTTTAGTCACTTAAGTGGATTAAAATCTCAGTTACTCGATATCATAAAATTTCAGTTGCTAAATATCACAGTTATTCAAGATCTCAGTAGCTCGAGATCTCAGATATTTCAAATCTCATCTGCTCGATAACTCAGCTATTTCAAATATTTTAAAAGTCTCAGTTAGTAAAATTCCTTGATACTTGAGTTACTTGATATCTCAGTTATAATACACCCCAGTTGCTCAACATGTCAGTTATTAAAAATCTTATTTGCTCGATATCTCATATATTAAAAACCTAATTTGCTCGATATCTCAGTTAATAAAAATCTCATTTGCTCGATATCTCATTTACTCGAAATCTCAATTGCTAATAATCTTAACTATATATAATATAAATATAAATAAATATATATAAATATATAAATAAATATAAATCTCAATTACTCGATATCACAGTTATTAAGAATTTTACTTGCTCGATTTCTAATTTTTTTAAAGTCCCAGTTACTCGATGTTTCATATATTAAAAATATCAGTTACTCGATAACTCAACCATTCCAAATCTTAGTTACTCGATAGCAAAGTTAATGAAAATTACAGTCGCTCCAACTTCAATAAACTTTTATAACTTTCATCAGGACTATAATATGTTAGGATACTCTTTTAGATCATGAACTCTGTGTTGGTATGTAAAATTTCATTTTTCAAGAAAAACATTTAATTGATATATTGTCCCACAAATCTACTTTTTTTAATTTCGGTGTCAAACAATTCAGAAAAACGTCAACAAAGTCGGATTTTTTTGGAAATTACCATATTACCAACCGACCCTCAATCTCTCCATTTACCATTAACCAAAATATTAACAAAATAAAAACAGTTTTTTTATCTGCCCTCGAATTTCTCAGTTTAACGTGGAACACTGGAACGTCTGTCAGATTTTCGACAGCTGTTGAAGATTGTGAATTTTGAAAA